TCAAACTTGAGGAGAACTGAGCTATTTTGTCTATTGGTAATTTTAAAGGATTTTGAGATTTCCACCTCATAACCCGTATCATAAAATGCAATAAATGTATAAAACAGCGGGAATCTTACTAAGTGTCGTTTAATGGCACACATATCTAGATTATTGATTTATTATTCGATTGGATGGAGGATTTCATCATGAGCTGACATCAGTTAGAGAACCACTGGGAGTATTGGATCGCTGTTTCGTCCCAGTTTGGGACTCTTCATCAGCACTCACCCACCGACTAGGGTTCAAATCCAGGACCTTCTGATTACCAGGCGAGCTCGTAGACCTTTGATACACTGGGACCCAAACTAGTACGGAACAGCTGTTCAGTACTCCCAGGTTTTTTAGTGATTCTCCAAATGATGTCAGCTCATGATGAAATCCTCCATCCAATCAAATAAAATCCCCACAAAAACCAATATTTGAAGATTTATTGTTTATTTGTATTTCGATTAATTTCAGTGAAGACTTCTCTTCGAATTAACATCAATTGTTAGAGAGTCATAAAAATGCAGGGAGTACTGGTCATCTGTTTCGTTCTAGCTGAGGACTGTTCATCATCAGTGTGCACCTATGAACCCGTTAGCAATCCAATCCAAGACCTTCAGGTTACGAGGTCAAGTTCATTAGCGATTCAGCCACTTGGGTGTTAATTCAATCATTCATGAATTCCTACTATGTCGGTTCGTGATGTTTAAGAGTCATGGAATCTCACAACTAAAGTGTTTCAAAATAGGACAAAGTAAATTTCCAGTACTCCCTGGTTTTTTGATTGGGCACTAGTCAGTAACTAGTGTAATGTGTATAGTCTTATCTTTGGTGCAGAATGAATTCTATCAGTCAAGTTTGAAATGTGGGGCCACCAATATATGTGTAAAATTTGGGCACTGTGGTGATAGTAAGTAATTCCATATTAGTTTGTTTATTAGGTTTATCACACAGTGAAACAGTATTATTTACTGGATGACACAGTTTCGAACACAATTTATTACTGTTCATAATCATATCAATTGTAATCACACGACTTCGAAACTTGAGTTTTAAAGTTTTTCTTTTTCTCTCCTCTTTGTTGTAGGGGTTTCTGAGGTTCCTTCCTTGTATGAAATTACTACTGATGATTTAGATTCCTCATTGTTGGTGTTGTCTCGCGCATGTTTGACATTCATGTCATTATCATTATATTATCATTGTTATCAATGACGGCATGCATGTTAAACATGCGCAGGATAATGACAACACCAACAATAAGAAATCTAAATCATCAGTAGTAATTCCATACAAGGAAGGAACCTCAGAAACCTTACGCAGAATTCTTAACAATGCAGGAATAAAAGTGGCTGGCATTCAAACCCCCCACTAACTCAGTTAGAAACAAGCTTTGTCGGTTAAAGCATCAATCCTGTGGAGACAATTAAACAAAACAATTTAGTTTATCTAATACCCTACATGCAATGATTGTCAGGTCAAATACATAGGTCAAACTAGGAGAATAGGGGCAGTGAGTCAGACTAGCCGAGCATAAAAACCTAAGAAAATCTAGATTGGTTAACCCGAATTAGATAAGAAATCTAAAGAGAGAATAGTTCAGCTATAGCACTTACGACATGCAATTACACACAACCATACAATAGGCTGGATGGGATAAGATGACAGTTTTTAAATCTAATGTCACAGTACGGTGGAAGGGGAGATTGGTAACAGAAGCTTTGTTTATCGAATCAACTACAAATACATGTAATAGGAATGATTCAACATCTGTCCAGGCGGATATCTGGAAAATTCTACTACCCATACGACAAATAGGAGAGAACAAAGAGAACTATAAAACTCAATTGTCAAAGTCGTGTGATAACAATCGATATGATTATGAACAACAAATTTTGTTCGAAACGTCATCCAGTAAATAATACTGTTTCACTGTGTGATACATCTAATAAGCAAACTAATGTGGGGCCAGCAAGCTAATTGGCCACATTAGTATCTCTGTATAGCCAAATTATGTACGCCTTATCTCCAAAGCACCATTTCTTCACAGATCTTCCGTGTTGTGCTACTTCTGTTCCCCTTTGTATTGTCTTTCTTTGTGTTCCTTCCTTTCACGTCTCCCATATATCTCCGCAAGGATGCATCATTTACTTTTTCTGACGTCAATGTATCTTCCTGATATTTGATGTTGTTATGCCGATGAATGTCTCTTTATATACTACTGGTGAATCTTATCAGTATCACACGCCAAAGTAGTAATAATTTTTTTCTCAGTACTGGTAAGCACTGCTGTATGTATTTAAGTGGTTTCGGACTACTCATATTATCGAGTAGTATGTGCTGTATTACTTAATTGTTTGGCATTCTTGTATAGTTTTCAGATTGAGTACATATAGATAGGTTAGTTAATTGACATCGTGGTGGATGGAGCATGTTTTACGAATGTTTATTGACTGTCTTTCTACTTATGGATTTACTGTGCTAAAGGAACAATGAGAACATGGAGGCGATCAAATCAAGACATCAGTAATTGATGAAATCATGACGTGTAGGTGTGAGCTGTATAAGTTGCCTTGCTGAAAGCACTAAAAGGCTTACTTACATACTGATTAAAAGCTGTCAGTAGGATGATGAGTGGGTTGTCACTAAACCAGTTTGTTAATACTGTAACAACAGAAGACAAGGGCCAGGCAACAGAACGTTTATTATGGAAAATCAACACATATTTATAGATTTCGATGTACATTATTGTAGGTTAATGTTAGTAGAAAATACAGTCTGTTGATTGGTTGTTTCTCACACAAAGTTAACCTTGCATCTCTTGTGGCTGTGTCAGTTCATCTATATGTTAACTGTATCCACCTGTCCATCTTGACCTTGTTTTCACATGACTAACATTGACCTTAATTACTGTCAACCAATTTGGCTAGCAACCATCTCTCACCACAATACTACCGTAGATAAATAATCGAACTCATGGAAGCAATAAGCGAATGTGATGTTTTCCATCCCTGAGCATCGTCTCAATACACAACTCTCATGTTGCATCTTACCAGGTAGAACAACAATCAGCTATAGATGACTTTATGGTTGGACAACTAAATATAGAACCTCCACAGTACTGTTGTAGAGCACTGGCCTGATGCACCATGTCACTCAACTGACTGCTTAACGTATGTCCAATCCATCTCTATTTTCTTCTACAATATTCATTGACCAATTGGTTCTCAGTTGGTTCGTTTCCAAAGTTCCTTGTTGCTGATCCTTTCCAGTTGGTCATTTGACCTTCAAGATGGAACCATCTAAGGCAACTGTTGACAAATGTCTACAGTAGCCTGTTGGAAATGCTTTTCGTGACTCGGGCGTCAAGTTTCTGACCCATACAGAAGAAGTGACCTACTTCACACTTGTGTCGAACAGAATCCGAATTTTGTTGTTTATGCTGAGTGAGAGTACAGAAGATTTCCAAACTGATTGTAGAATGATAAAGGTCCGTCTTGCCTCTCCGATTCTGATTTTGACATCCATACTCATGCCGCCTGTCTGTAGTTCGAGTGATGTTGTTTAGATAAGTGAAGGAGGTGACCTCTTTCAAATTTCTTCTGTTAATAGTGATTGGTGCTTGTTGTTGTTATGGTTATTGTCGTTGTCGGTCAGGTGTCTTCATCACCTCTGTCCTCTTTTGTTGCTTCTTCTACTTCTGTAGGCGAAGTATGGTTCGAACTCGTGACGCGGCGGTTGAAATTCAGAGTACCTGGAGATAGCTTCACATGTCCTTTAGGAGAGATGAAGAATGTCGACTAGCTCGTAAGACACGATGAATGTGTTTATTTAATATGACCAGAGAACAGAAGAAAACTGTGACCGTATGAAATGCAAAATATGTTTCAGAGTCGGTAGTGTTCCATAATGCTTTGTTCTGTCCTGTTCTGAATTTCGAATCCTACAGGAACAAGGGAACATAACACAACAACGTGTTAAATGGTGGGAGATGCCTGACATCTCAACACAGTCAACTTGGAGAGTGAACAGTCCAGCACTGATTGTTGTTTGATGATGACAGCTGTGGGCTAATAAATCTAGCGAATTGTGTCTTTTCCACTTACAAGTATAAGAGGATTTAACAGGTTCCCTATAGTGAAACTTTGGGAGAGTAATTGTTAACGTCACTGAGTCAGCTGTTCTGTCGGATTACTGTGGCTTAACTTAAATCTTAGTATTAAACCTAAGGAAATATAAGTATCGGAGTGGATTTTAAGGTTTCAAGCATTCTGAATTATCAGTAGCACTGTAGATTTACTTCTAAAGAGTGACGACTTTGACTTCAGACGCAACCTAACGGCTCTTTATTTTCCTGAAATCTTGATAGTCGGTTAGTAAGCTTGGTGAGGTTTAGGGGTGTATCAACAGGAATTCGAACCTGGATCAACAAGGGACTCTGGGAACTGACCAACAAATATGCCGATTGAAATGGGGATTAATCAGACTCCACACGCCGGGGTGACCGTTGGATAACATCATGCGTCAGGGCAGTACTCGCTCGAGTGGAACTTGAATGAGGTGAAACAATGAGCTAGGTGTAAATATAAGGCTGAAATGATGGAGATCGTATGTGCGGAGGAGATAAAAGCTTGTGCACGATTTTGGAACCAGTTAAGTAAGACTACCAAGGACAGGAAGAAATGGCAGTGTGATGATGTTGAAGCCCCCCGTTCCACTCACAACCCCGGAGAAATAAAAATAAGGCAGTGAATTTCTTATCTCTTTTCTTTGAACTATACAATATTATTGATAGATAGATAGATAGATAGACGGAGTGAGTGTAGATAAAATTCTCAGTTTTTTACAGAATGAAAATAATAATAACAATAATAATAGTGATAATAAGTGAATCAGTAAATGAACAAGATCAATCATAATCTCTCTTCCTGTCTCTCTGCTCCTTGTTTTGATTTTCTTAAAAAAGAAACACTGATCCCTTCAAAAACACGGAGGCAGAGGTCAGGAGAAAGAGCATAGAGAAGAGAGGAGAAGAGAAGTTTGTTTATTAAGGCATAAAACCTGACTGACTAATCTCGTGAAATAAATGAGCTCTGTTCATTTTTTTTTGAATAAATAACTTCTGATACTACTGATATACACTCTAAAGTAGTCCTACAATATATACGTAAAATATATTTATGTGTATATAGATATATGCATGTATAGGGAAAAGAATCAATCAATGAAAACTGTGCAAAGTGACTGAGGAGCAGTTTGTGTGTGTGTGTGTGTGTGCGTGCAGTGAGCAGGAGGCTATAGGAATCTGTTCTTATCCGATCACAAAAGAAGTGATGAAATCAATTTGTTTTATATGTATAAATATATATGTATAGAATTACGTATTAATATTTTTGTAAATGTGGATTGAATTACTGAGGCCTTCAAATTATTGATTATCTGAGGAATGTACACTTGGTGTAATGATACTGGGTTGAGCTTGTTTAAATTTCCCACCTTTCTCATTCTGAAGATGATTCACCTGATAATCGTTTGTTGAAGTGGGAACACGAGAAGAAGAAGAAGAAGGAGACGAAGAAGAATAAGAACAGGCCGCAGAAGAAGGATGAGTATGCGTAGAAAGTTGATGTTGAGGTTGAATTGAAGAAGAAGAAGAATTAGGCACCTTAATCTTGTGTTGTAAATGATCCTCATCAACATTGGCATCACCTTCTTCTTCTTTTCTGGGATTATCTGTGCCCAGTGAAGGATTGGTCTTTTGAATACAGGAGCTCGATTTCAACAGTTGATTGTCCAGTTTACTGCCGACATTTTGTTCTTTATTGTCTTTGGAACAAATACTATCCGTTGTATACTTTGCGTGACGCTAAAATATAAATAGAAAGTCGAGGAAAAATTATAAGGAATAAAAGGGAAAATAGTTGAGGCAAAGAAAGCATGAATATTATTCTTAGTTTTATATTCCTTAGTGTTCTAAGTGGAACATAGGGTTTGTTTATTTACGCGGTGAGGTTACTAGTGTGGTGAGAGCTGTCTGCTAGCCAAAATTGGTAGACAGCAATTTACGTCAATGTTCACTTCCTGAATCTTGGTCATGAGGAATAGAAACAAGAACAAAGGCTAACTCAACAACCAATCACAGCAGACTTTGCGTGGGCGGATATGATCCGGAGATATGTAGTCTGACCTTCAAGGAAATCGCCACCAATGAGATGACAGAATAACTTTCAACGAGAAAACAACCAATCAGAAGAAGCTGTTTCTCTGCTAATAATGACGCTAATAATAATGTACATAGAAATCTATAAATATCTGTTGATTTTCTCAATAAACGATCTATTGCCTGGAGCTTGTCTTCTATCGTTACACTAGCATTGTTCCCATCCTTCCTTATTCTTCTTCTTCTGCTCCAAGCTTAACAACAGGTAAGTGAGGTTTAGCAGTGTGTCAATCGGGAATCGCATCGGCACCAGGTGCCTGACTTCTGAGCTTTCGACCACTGAATAATCGACACAATCAACTGTGGCAGTAAACACATCAGCGTTACGCTTAGATGCAGGCGTAACAAATATCTTCTGATGTTTGAACTCAGTTAGCTGAAGCCAATCTTTCATAATTATTGTAGGACGGCTGAAGGAGATGTCGTGGAATTCGAACCATGAAGCTACTAACTGAAAGTCGTAAGCTAATAAGCTACATTTCTACTTTGATATAATTGGCTTATAAGTTTATGGAATTAAAGTTTTTGATTATCTTAGATCATGTGACCTTTCCTCCTCTCCAACTGACCTACTTTCATAAATGGTTACATCTGATTGATGAGGGGTATTTATTTCCAAATATGCAAAGAACACCAGATGTACTACGATTGCAGTCAAACGTTTCCAACCAAAATTATGCGTACAGAAAGATAGTGTGTGATGAATCCTTCACCTTCAAGACAGATGCATTTCGATTTTGATTACATAATCGTCTATATTAGTGATTTCAGTTCACTGAGCTAATTTCAGTCTGACTGAATTATATAATTTTCTCGAGTTGTCATATCACCTTACAGGCTAACAGTGTTTGTCGTTGTGATTTTCTGCCATCTCCTCCCCCTGCCCCTCGTTTTGTACTATGAAATGAGTGTAAGTTGATGATGTATTATCATTGTTCCCTTGGGGTTCAATTGAAATTTCGGGCTTCAGCAGTACATCACTGATTCGTCCTGTTCTCCATGACAGCGCATAGACTCTTATCTCCTTCTCACACAGTCTCCTCCATGTCATCTTCGCGCACCACAATCGCAGTTACCCATTTAGGATCCACTCGAGGGTGTGGGGCGTGGTGTCACTCAGCGGTCTACTCAACGTGTGTCCAATCCATCTCCATTTTCTCCGGAATATTTCTTAGGCATTAGGTCCTTTGTTTGTTCATTCGTTGTCAGAGTTTCTTGTAGCTAATCCTTTCTAGCTGGCTATTTGATCCTCAGTTTGAAGCTGGCGAAGGCAACTGTTGATGGCTCTCAGAAGCCTACTGGTAATGGTTTTGGTGACCATCCAAGTTATTGACCCATGCAGAAGAACTGATTGAACTAAATTTGGTGTTGAATATTCTAATTTCGTTGACTGTGCTGAGTGCAGTCGATTTCCTAACTGATTACAGAGTGATACAGGTGTACCCTGCCTTTCCGATTCCGGTTGCTTATATTATTCTAAACTGTGCTGTTGCTTGTAGGGGAGATGATAGTGCTAAAACAAGTGAAGGAAGAGACCTCTTTCAAATTTCTGCCGTTGATACTGGTAGGGCTTCTTATTGTTGCTGCTGTTGTTGGTTGGTTATCCTCATCCCCCCTATTTTCTCTATGTTCACTTGAAGTTCTGTGTTTGCTGCTTCTTCTGGAAGTTCGCTGGTTTTATCTGACCTGTAAGTCTTGGAGTTTGTGCGACATTAGACATAAATCATCCGCGAATTCTAGATCTTCTAGAGTCTTGGCCTTGCCTAGTCTACTAGTTCTCTGGATTCCTGGTCGGTCCTAAGCTCAAGAAAAGAGGGGAGGAGAGGAGGCTAACGACCCTAGCCCGGAAAATTAATGCAGCAGCCATAGAAACCTCAAATTGACGATGATTTGAACTGGAAGAAAAACTGTGATGCCTACATTCTAGATGTCTTAATTTTCTAACATTCTTTCTGTTATCATTCAGACAGTGAAGTACGTCATTTTCTTTCATTATTTTATGACTACTGAAATTTCAATTAGTAGTCTGTAGCTGATGAAAATATGTGAAGTGAAATTATGGTATCGTTTTATAGTGTAAATTTAGTCATTCTTGCTCTAAGGAAATTTGAAGTTAGACGTTCAGATTTTTTAATAAGAACATTAAAGAGTGTCAGTGCATGGTTGGTGAGCATCCTACCGCTGAACCACCGACGCACATTCATACAATGATGCACCCATTGACAAGGCGTTTGCACACTCGTTTTTAGGAGAACTGAACACATCTATCCCTGCTTCATGAGAGATGAGATTGGCATGAAGTATCATTCTGTGGTGCAACCACTTGAGACGCCTCTTCCTCTCTGGATCAAAGGTTATTAGTATTACCAAGGGAGATTTGAATTAATTAGGAGTGGTTTCCGTTGTCATTTATCATTCTGTCGATATCTGTAGGAAGCTGAATATGGTATCATATGCTAAACTGTAGATTGTTGAACAGATTGCATTTCAAAGGATTAAATTTCGCTGAGGCTTTCACAGTGGTGTGAAATCATACACTTCAGTGTTAAGCCTTTCTATGGATGTGTATACCTTACTTCAGGCGTTCTTAAGAGAGAGAGAGAGGAAAGAGATGATAGGCAGTGTCTGTTGATAGTTTCTTCTCCAGCCATTGGTTCTTAACATGCCGAGGACTCCAACCAGGAAGCTACACCACCTTACGTGGCCCAAACTAAGTGTCAAAGATTTCATAGACAGATTCCAAGTTTGGGCTTGACAACCCTTTGGGTCTTTTCCACTCTGATCCTATGTCAGCTAACATTGCCCGTTGAGAAAGATGATGGCTAGGAATGTGCAACGCATGTCCAATCCATCTCAATCGGTGTAGCTTCACTATATCATGGACTGACTTCCCCTTCTTACCTAACAGTCAATGCGTAACCAGTAGGGTACAGCAGGTTGAAGATGAGGCAGTAACTCATCGAAGAAGACATTGCGAAATGGTCGCGCTATGTCATGAATTGGCAGAAGTTAGAATTCATGGGCCATTGGATCGGGTCCCAGTGGCTGCTGAATGGTCTACGAGCTCGCTAGCCTTGTAACCAGAAGGTTATGGGTTCGAACCCTGTCGGTGGTGGGTGCGTACTGATGAAGAGTCCCAAACTAGGATGAAGCGGTCTGTCCAGTACTCCCAGCTGGTTTTCCAGTGGTTCTCTAACTGATGTCAGCTCATGATGGAATCCTCCATCCAATATTACTCACCCTATTATATCACCTAACACGCTAGACAGAACGCAGACACCAAAGACAACTAGATAGCCTTTTCATGTCATTCACTTCCAATGGCCACCATATCTCATAGCCATAAAAGGAGAAGTGGCGAACTGGTGTGGAGTACACACATGCATTTGATCGACAGCCCGATATCACGTCCACACTAGAAATGTTGTAAGTTGGGAAATCCCATACCAGACTTTTGTATCCATGCTGAGATTTCATTAACGGCGACCTGTTCAATAAGTTAGTGGTCAACACTCTCTACCAATTCATTCCCTATCTGTAAGCTAGGAGTTGATGTAGTCCAGTCCTGTGGCATCATCTTACATTCGACAGAAGCGAATCGCTCTGCAAACATTCTAAGATTGCTGCTGAAGGTGTTCAGAAGACTCTGCATTTTTTTCCGCGTCTACACCTAGGAGGAATGTATCATCCGCACATACTAAGTCAACAAGGCAGTTTTCTGGTAACACTAATTAATCACGTTAACAATTACTGTTGTAATAAAACATGGATATTTGAAAAAAAACACCAAACAAACAAGAAGACATACAGACAAATTATTTAGAAACTTACCTGATGTTTTATAACCTGTAAGTGAAATATCATTAAAAAATATAACGGATAAGATCGATTGTTTGAGGTAAGTTTTGATGACACAAAAAAACACACAACAATAAATGATGTTCTTAAAAAAAGGAATCTAATATAGCCAGTCTGCTTGCATCCAATTTCCTTCAAAGTAGTTCTAGTCAAGAAATTATTATTATTGTTCCCTTGGGTTCCTAGTGGAATATAGGGCTTCAACTGAACGTCTCCACTTGTTTCTGTCTTCTGCTGTACTTTTCACCTGCATCCATGTTAATCCATACTGTTTCAACTCCTCCTCACACGATCTCCTCCATGTCACCCTTGGACGTCCCACTCGCCGCTTCCCTTTCGGGTTCCACTCGAGCGATGGCCTGACGCGCGATGTCACCCAGCGGCCTCCTCAGCGAGTGTTCAATCCATCTCCACTTTCTCCTGCATATTTGTTGAGCGATTGGTTCTTGTTTTGTTTGTTCCCATAGTTTCTTGTTGGTTCTTGTTCTTTCCGGCGGCCATCTGATCTTCAGTATAGAAAGAAGACAGTTGTTGATAAATGTCTGCAACAGGCTGTTGGAAATATTCTTTCTGATCCGCCAAGTTTCTGATCCGAATAGAAGAACTGACTGACTTGACGTTTCTATTGAAAATCCGAATTTTGTTGTTGATGTTGAGTGACGAAGATTTCCAGATTGGTATCAGTTTGATGAATGTGTTTCTCGCCTTCCCGATTCTCGATTTGACATCCTCGTCCGTTCCTCGTGTAGTTGAGACAATGCTTCCTAGATAAGTAGTGAATGAAGTAACCTCTTTCAAATCCCTCCCGTTGATGGTGATTGGCGGTGGATGTCTAGTCAAGAAATAATGTCAGTTAAGCAACCTGTGGAGGATTACAACTACTAAGTAGTTTATTATTATTTTTATTATTGCTTTGGGTTTCAGTTGGAACATACGGCTTCAGCAGCACATCTCCACTTTACCCTGTTCTCTCCAGTCCTCTTTAAATGGCCCTACGATAGCCATCCACGCCTCACTCAGACCAACAACCCTCTCGCTGTTTCCCATTCGGGTTCCACTCGAGCACTGGTTTGGCGTACAATGTCATTAAACGGTCTGCTCAGCGTATGTCCAGTTCATCTGCATTTTCTTCGGGATATCTGTTCAGGAATAGGTTCTTGATTGCTTCGTTCCAAAAGTTTCTTGTCCCTAGTTCCTTCTAGCGGCCAGTGAATGAAGATGTTGATAAAGTCTGCAGTAGACTGCTAGAAATGCCTTCCGCGATGCACCAAGTTACTGACCTACATAGAAATAGTAGCTAACTTAACATTGGTGTTGGAAATTTTATCCTTTACACTTAGTCTCGAAGATCTGCTAACTGACTTCAAAGTTCATGGATGTCTACCTTGACTTTCGATTTTGTAAAATACAAAATAACTGAGCAAAGAATATGGATTTTGATAATTTTCTCTTCTGGCTCTACAACCACATTATATATACTCACATACATAGAATATTCTAGAATAGTAGTCCGTAACAATATTAGTGTTTTTTGAATAATATCGATTTGTTAAGGAAGATCACAAAGGAATTACAGTTCATTAAAGATGCTTAAATACTACTACTACTAATAAAGATATACTATTAAATAGAATATCAACTAAAATTAAGGAAATTCCTCAATTAAATTGAGAATTATTCAAACCTAGATGGCCAAGGTAAGGACAACGTCTGAACTAGCTTCTTCTGGACACATAAATTAGGCATCTTAATCTGGATCGCAACAGCCAGCCTCAGAAATATGTAGTGGACGAACTCTTAAGGCGAAATTGAGATTTGCTGGTATTCGGTTAATGACTCTGAAAGCTGCCTCGTTAACATCAATCTTGTGTTCTGTATTCACAACATGAGATATTACTATGGGTGTTGCGATCCAGATTAAGAAGCCTAATTTATGTGTCCAAAAGAAGTTAGTTCAGACGTTGTCCTCACCTTGGCCATCTAGGTTTGAATAATTCTCAATTTAATTGAGGAATTTCCTTAATTTTAGTTGATATTCTATTTAATAGTATATCTTTATTATTAGTAGTAGTATTTAAGCATCTTTAATGAACTGTAATTCCTTTGTGATCTTCCTTAACAAATCGATATTATTTAAAAAACACTAATATTAATAAACTTGAACAAAGCAAGAACAACAATTGTACCAGGATAATATGAGCTCATATTGACTACTATTCTAAAATATTCTATGTAAATAAACTTATACATATGTAATTGTAGAGCCAGAAGAGGAAATTATCGAGAAGGATATTCTATGCTCAATTATTTTGTTTTTTATAGATGTCTGAATGATTATTTTCGATTCTGGTTTTAACATCCTCAATCGTGCTGTCGCTTGTAGTTGAAGCGATGCTCCCTAGCTAAGTGAAAGAATTGATCTCTTTCGAATTCCTCCTGTCCACAGCTGTTGGTGCTTGTTGTTGTAGGTTGGTTGGTTCCTTTTATCACCCATGTTTTCTCTACATTCACTTGAAGTCCTATATTCGCTTGCTGCCAGCCTCTTCTGTCAACTTGTTCGTATTTGCCTGTAATTCTTCGAGTTTCTGTGAGTTTATGGGTAGTTTATTCATCCATTATGTAAGTTATTTATAAATTATGTTTGAGTAGATTCTATCCTGTAGTGAGTTTTCTGATAGATTTCATGAACTTATACTCTGGAATTAAGAATGGTTACTAATCCTTATGTCTATCTATTTTATGAAGGATTCGAGGCTTGTAGATTGGCCGGCCATTGCGAGTTTAAATGAAATAAACTCTGTAGGGTAGCTTTAATGATGATGACATTTGAAATAGATGCGCTTCTCAAATAGTACTTGCCGTTCGCATTGAATCTGGCTTATACACCCACAGCTGGGATTCGAACCCAGGACCTTCCACTTACAAGTCAAGCTCTTAGACCATTCTGCCACTGACACCCGATTCAGCTGCAAGTTCATGAATTATAACTTCTACCAACCGTTTCGTGATTTTGGCATGGGTGACACCAGCCCATGTCATCTATGGCTACTATTTGTCCTCACTCTCGACCGGAAGGAACTCAGAGTTCACGATCTGTCACTAGAACTGACTCCAGACAACTTCATCCTATGGCCAGTCACTAGTAGGCATCAAATTCATAGGCTACTGCATCGGGTCCTAGTGGCTAAATGGTCTACGAGCTTGACATGTAACCGGAAGGTCTTGGGTTCGAACCTCGGTGGGTGCGTGCTGATGAAGAGTAGCAAACTAGGACGAAACAGCTGCTCTATCACTAGTTTTCTAACTGATATTAATCATTGGTGATACTTGAAATAAAGAGGTAATTCCTGATGTTCATTACGAAAATTGTAATGTACTCGCACAAGTACCATCAGCACTGGAGATAAGGAGCCAATCTTTATATTGTGGCCCGACTGTTTAAGTTGAAGGTAATGACATCCACACTATTTGACACTTTATTGAACTATGTTTAGCTGTTGTTGGACTATGCCTAAGTAGTAAGGCATGCATCACTGGTAAAAGGTATGAGTGCCAAAATAAATTTCGTGCTTTGGAGAGTCAAAGTGTTCTTCTATTTCGGCTAACCAACTGTTCTCTCGTCGAGTATTGAAAAAAGGACGTATTTGGAGGTTAAAGGATAAAATAAACCTCCTAATTTTGATGTGGTTTATTTGCGAAGCTTCCATTGCCCCCTTCTAGGCAACATCTTCAGCACATACTTCAATTCCATGAGATGAGCTTTCAGATTTCTCCATGAGTTTATTAGCCGTCTCTCCTGATGACCTAGAACGTGATTGGTTGTTTCCTTGACTTGGGTCAAACTTCAGGTCAAGGAAACAGTCAACACCAATATCAATACAAGTAGCCTAGAGGATGTGAAAAAACACAAAAACAACCAATCACGACCTTCAAGGTCACCAGGAGAGATGGCTTATAAACTCGTGGAGAAATTTAAAGCTCACTTCGTCAAATTCAAGTGTGCGCTGAAGATGTTGCCTAGTAAGTAGGGGCAATGAAAGCTTGGCAAATAAACCATCCAGCTCAGAGAGTACAACCACATCAAAAGCATCTACCTGAGCTACAGATCTTCTCCATCATATCTAAACCTCTTAATATATTGTAGTACCAGCTGAGGTTCGAATCCTGCACTAGTACAAAATGAGAAAGAAGAAAGAGTTACTCATACAACCCTAGTATGAAGTAGAATAAAATTAAGCATAATACTACCTAATAAGTAGACACAAAGGGGGATTACCTCATCAGCAATTTTCAGCGCATAATCCGACTGTTCATTTACATTATTTGTCGACTGTAGAATTGATGTTCGCCGACCAAGTGATTGTAAACGTTCAGTGGCAACTTTTTCTAATGTTACTCTCATTTCTGGATAATTCTCCAGTACATCGTAGAAGTGTTTTTGATCCAATGAATAGAGGGTACAATAGGTTTCAGCTTCAACACTTGCTACACGTCGTGCATTGGTTAGTAAGCATATTTCTAAAATGGAAAAGAAATAAAATAATATTCAATGAAATAATGCGAAAGATTTGTAACTTAGGTGGTCTTGTTGTTGTTGTGTTTAATTAGGTAGATGGCTTACCTTGTTCAGTTTTAACTCCAAAATTCCATATTAATATATGTGTATAACTTGGGCACTGTGGTAGTAAGTAATTCCATATTAGTTTGTTTATTAGATGTATCACACAGTGAGTGAAACAGTATTATTTACTGGATGACACAGTTTCGAACACAATTCATTACTGTTCATAATCATATCAATTATAATCACACGACTTCGAAACTTGAGTTTTATAGTTTTCTTTGTTCTCTCCTACTTGTCATCGTTGGGGTAGTAGAATTTTCCAGATATCCGGCGGGACAGATGTTGAATCATTCCTATTACATGTATTTGTAGTTGATTTGATAAATAAAGCTTCTGTTATCAATCTCTCCCTATACCCTATGACATTAGATTTTAAAACTGTCATCCTATCGCATCCTATTGTATGGTTGTGTGTACCTGCATGTAGTGCTACAGCTGGACTATTCTCTAGATTTTTTATATTGTTTGGGTCAACCAATCCAGATTTTGCTAGGTTTTTATGTTCAGCTAGTCTGACTGCCCCTGTTTTACTACTCTGACCTATGTATTTGACCTGACGATCATTGCAGGCGGGGTATTAGATAAACTAAATTGTTTTGTTTTAAAGGCTCCACAGGACTGATGCTTTAACCGAAAAGCTTGTTTCTAATTGAGTTTGTGGGGGGGGGGTTTGAATGCCAGTAACTTTTATTCCTGGCTTCTTAAGAATTCTGCGTAAGGTTTCCGAGATTCCTTCCTTGTATGGAATTACTACTGATGATTTAGATTCCTTATTGTTGGTGTCGTTATTAATATTATTATTATCACTATTGTTATTATTATTATTACTATCGCTACCATCATTATTTATTTACAATTGATATGATTATGAACAATAAATTTTGTTTGGAACGTCATCCAGTAAATAATACTGTTTCACTGTGTGATACGTCTAATAAAAAAAAACAACCAATATTGCATATTATTATTGCTAGTATTAGTCTATTGGTTTCCAGGTGGAACATACGGCTTCAGTAGGACATTCTCATTTCAGTATGTTTCCTGAAGTACTTTTAACAGGCTTAACGATTACTTCCATTTTGTTCCCAATATAGTCTCTTGTGTGTCACTCCCGGACACTCAACTTGACGTTTTCCATTTGCGTTCCACTCGAAAGCCTGGCCCTCAATGTCCCTCAGTGGTCTCCTCAGTGTGCGTTCAATCCATCTACACTTTCTTCCGGCATATTTGTTCGGCAATAGGTTCGTTGTTGGTTTCGTGTTACCACTTCTTTCTGGCTAACCATCTAATCCTCAGTGTGGAGCTAGCAAAGATAGCTGTCGGCGATGTTCTACAGCCTTTGGGAAATACTTTTCTTAACTATACGAAAGCACTGATTGGATTGCTGTTAATGTTAAAAATCCGGATCTTGTTCGTTATGCCGAGTGCATTAGATTCCCTCAATCGATTTCAGATTAATGAATGACTGTCTCACTCCTCTGATCCTACCTTTGGCATTATCTGTGCCACTTGTAGTTGAAACGATTCTGCCTACATGAGTTAAGCAGGTGACCTGCTTCAAATTTCTTCCGTCGGTAGTGATTGGTGTTTGTTGTTGTTGGTTGGATAATTTCATCGTCCCTGTCTTCTCCTTCCTCACTTGAAGTCCTGCTTTCTCTTCTTCTTCCTCTCCCAACATGTTGGTTTTCGCCCTCTGGTGCTCGAGATTTTATGACATTGAACATAAATTACCCGCAAAATCAAGTTGTTCTTGTAGGTCCACCTCACTCCTCTCTTCTCTCTCCACACGGTCTACGGCGTAATACGGTCCATCCTAATGCACTGTATTATTAACTAGATGACGTCTGGAGGCATAATTTAATGCTAATAGTCATATTTTTTAAAATTTTTTTGATTGCAGCTTGATTCCACACCGTATTTCTCGTACAAGTATGGAATTCTCAGCATGCGATATCGGTAGCCCAAATTTTGCAGGCCGAGCACTGATATCAGGCGTGCGTCGGCAGGGAATCGAACCCCGGACCATGTGCATGGTTGGCGAGAGTCCTAACCACTGTGCCACCGACGCACATTTAATCAAACGACTTCTTAACTTTATATTATGTGGCCTTACTCCTTCCTCCTTTTTTATTGTAATTATCCATATATCCGGCATGGGCATTGGGTCATTTTGACTGTACGTATTTGGTACCATCTCAGTGGTGAAAGATTTGGTGATAAACTTCTCTCTCTTCACTTAAGTATATTACTTTCTAATATTTTTTTCACCATGCCCCATCTTTTGTCTTTTTTACTGAATCCGGTGACACTCAAGGTGCTGTTCCTTCCCCACTTCTTTGTTTCTTCATACATGACTTGCCTCTTTCGGCAGGAGGTAACTTTGTTAAATATGCCGGTGACCTGACTGTCTCTTTATCAGTTACGTCGTGATCTGGCTGTTCCAAACTGTCTGAATAGTTTCCTGTGGGGTATAAGCTAGTGGTCTAATATAAATGGACTTGCCTTAAATTCCCCCACATGTCAGACAGATAATTTCTCCTTCAAGCGTGATCTACACTAATTGGTCCTTTCACAAGATGCTTGTACCATTGAGGGAGCTGAAATAGAAACTTCGTCAAGCATTTAAATAACCTCAGAATACTACCTTCCTTTGATATTTCTTCTTTATTCCATATCTTGGAGATTTCCGAGAAAATGTTTCATTTAACCAACTACATTGAGAAGTTAAAACAATCAGAAATCACTCAAACTCTACTTTTACAATTTTTCAACTCTTCCATCTTACTTATTGTTCTTTACTGTTCCACCTTAGTCCTTTGTGGGCTACTCATAAAGGACTGTGCCAGTAGGGCAGGTAGTGTGCCACTAAGTCAGCGCGTTACTACTGTGGTCGATAGACACTCGAACTCATGTGAGAAATGGTATAAATTCATATGATCTAACTCTCAACACCTCACTGTCTATTCGAAAGTCTCCCTTTGCATCTCATCAGGTAGGAGTAGAAGTCATCATGAAAGACTATGTACTCGCACAACCCTGTAGAGAAATCAATAATACCATATATGACCCACATTCTATGTGACAGAGACAGTGTTAGGCGTGAAACTTACAGCTTATTATGTAATCATTTCGAGGATTTCATCATGAGCCGACATCAGTTAGAGAACCATTGGAAAACCAACTGGGAGTACTGGAGGGCTGCTTCGTCCTAGTTTGGGGTCTTCATCAGTACGCACCCACCGCCAGGGTTCGAACCCAGGACCACTTGCGCAATCACTTCGCAATGTCTTCTTCGATGAATTACTGTCCCACCTCCAACCTTCTGTACCCAACTGGTCACGAGCTCGCCTTGTAACCAGAAAGTCCTGGGTTCGAACCCTGGACGAAACAACTGTGCAGTACTCCCAGTTGGTTTTCCAATGATTCTTTAACTGATGTCAGCTCATGATGAAATCCTCCATCTAATCAAATAAAATCCCCACAAAAACCAATATTATGTAATTAATGAAATAAATTCCTCTTTTAACTTATCTAATTTGTAATTTATACTGACACAGTTTCAATTATCGTATTATTTTAGTCACTGACATTAATATTGTCATTACATTTTCTTTACATTTTCGACTTTATTGTCACTGCTAATGTTACAGAGCTGCTATTATCAATTTTGGTTACCTATACCCTATAATTGTTTTTTTATGTTATTGTTGTTGTTGAGTGAATTAGATGCAATACTGTACCATATGAGGATAATTCCACCCTGTATCATGAGTACTATTTCGGAATTAAGCAAATCATTATTATTACTGCATTGCAGCAACCCACCGAACTGAAGCGTGGTGAGTAGTTGTAGGTCTTGTTTGGTTTTCCACCTTGATTGTTTTCCAATATTTTGGTTATACAAGTTTGATTCTTTCGAGAATTAACGTCATTTAGACAGACATTGACAACTAGGGAGTACGCAGTAGCTGTATCTCCCCCATTTCAAACTCTCCATCTCATATTCACTTGAAAATGAATCCCATGTTCATCGGTCACTGACTGTGGGATGGCTTCCACAGAATTTGAATGAGAAGTTGTGTGACTGGTGAGGAAAAGATTCGCCTCTGATGCTGACACTACTATCTCTTTCAATGAAGGTAATGACTTCAATCCCCCACCCGCCCGCAGCGGAATGATAACTATGTACGGTTGGTGAGTGCCAGACTAGGATGAAGCAACTGCTTAGTACTTCGTGGTTTGAGACACTTCCAGCCCGAACCATGAAGTGGGGACACACCCATGACCTTGAATGCGCACCATTCGTTGGATCACAGAACCTGTTGTTATTACAGCCCCAGAATGAACGCCGATGTGCACGAATCGACGCACAAATTTCATCCTCATCTCGGTTTTATATACTGTTTGGGGTTAGGATATTTTATCATAATTATTAACTGTATTTTTATTCTAAATTTAAAAAATGGGAGGAAAGTGTCTCCTCGTTCATATAGATGAGACTGTTTTGATACATATGTGACTTGAGAACTGATACCCTTCATAGTAATCCGGAGGTGTTTTTCGGATACATCAGGGTCAAATATCCCCCTTAATGTATCTCTTTATTATGTTAATTCTTCTAGTGATTAAATTGATTTTTGATGTGCATATTACACGGCAAGTTTTGTAATCATCCAGCGAATGGTATGCGTTGAAGATGATCGGTGCATCCACACTCCATGGTCTTTATTCTTTATGTTCACCTTCGACAGTTGTCTAACTGATCTAACTTTGAATTAATCAAAACCCGAGAAATCAACCCTTGGAAATAATATTTCCAATAATTATATTGAATAAAATGTAAAATTGAAAATAATAATCTCAATATTCATAATAATTTACCTCCGAAATAACATCCATCCGATAGCCTTGTAGCTAATACACCATCTTTTGTAATAATATTCACAACACCTTCTTGAATGAAATACATTTTTGTTCCATATGTTCCTTCTTTAATAATTAAATCACCGGGTTGAAAGACTTCTTGTTTCAGCTTGACAATAACTTCAGATACAAAATTCTGGTCAGCATTAGCAAAGATTGGAACAGATGCTACTAAGGCACGACAATTATAATTGATAATTTGCTAAATAAGGTTGGAGTGAAGAAAGAAAAATGAAAAGACAGAAGAAAAAGGCGTGTAAGTTTTAAAGAAAACATATTTCATTCGAAATCAAAACATGTAGTCCCGCGAAGAGGCTCTCACTTCATGTTATGACCGGAACTATCACCTAGTAGACAGACTATGAGCGAATACTTGTGGTGAGAGCTGTCTGCTAGTCAAAATTGGTAGACAGCAATTTAGGTCAATGTTTACGTCCCAAGTCTTGGTCATGAGAGAAGAACAAAAACAACCAATCACAGCAGATTTGCGTGGGTGGATACGATTAGCAGATATATAGTCTGACCTTCAAAGAAATGGCCACAAAGAGATGACAGATTAACTTTCAAAGAGAAAACAACCAATCAGAAGACGCTGTTTCTCTGCTAAAAATAACGAATAATAATGTACATAAAAATCTATGAATATCTGTTGATTTTCTCAATAAACGATCTGTTTACTGGCCCTTGTCTTCTGTTGTTACATACTAACTTTGATGCGCTGGCTAATCTGTCCTAAACGCACATTATCAACAACAACAATAATATTGCCGGGCCTCAAAAAGATAGAAGAGAAGACTGGACGATGGTAGAAGAGCTTTTACTATCTCAAAACAACAGTCAAAAAAGGTTGACAGAGCTTGCGTATATACATATGTTTAAATGACCTTGTATTATTATTATTCCCTTGCGTTCCGAGTGGAACATAGGGCTTCACCAACACATCTCCACTTTGTTCTGTTTTCTGTCGTCCTCTTCAGCTGGGTATAGGATTGACCATACTCTCACATCCGATGTCATTCGGCGGCCTCCTTAATGTATACCCGACCGGGCCAACTTCACTTTCTCCTACATATTTGTTGAGTGATCAGCTCTTGATTGGTTTGTTCCTATAGTTTCTTGTTGCTTATTCTTTCTGGCCATTTGATCTTCAGTATAGAGCCAGCCAGGGAAGGGGGCGGCTGTTGATGAAAGTCTGCAACAGGCTGTTGAAAATTCTTTTCGTGACACACGGTGCAGGTTTCTGACTCGTATAGAAGAACCGACTTCACATTTGTGTTGAAAATCCGAATCTTTTTCTTTATGCTGAGCACTGTGCAGAAGATTTCCAAACTGGTTTCAGGTTGATAAAGGCGTATCTTGTCTTTCCGATTCTGACTTTGACATTTTCATCCGTTCCGCCAACCTGTGGTTGAAACGATGCTTCCCAGATAACTGAAGGAGGTAACCTCTGTTAAATCTCTGCCGTTGATGGTGATTGGTGCTGGTTGTTGTTGCTGCTGCTGTTTGATTGTTTATCTTCATCACCTCCGTCTTCTCTGTGTTCACCTGCTCACCTGTTCTGCCAGTTTGTTGGTTTTCGTTTGCAAATCTTCGAGTTTGTGTGACATTAGACATATGTCATCAGTGAAATCCAGATCTTCTAGAGTTTTGTTATCGGTCGTTCAAAGTATTCCTGTCTCCTCGCTCCCAACGCACAGTCTGACTCATAATCCAGTCCACCACAATTAAGAATATCATCGGTGATAATATGCAGCCACCTTATCCTACTCTTGTATGCACTTCGAAAGCCTCGTTGAGTTTTCCGTTGTGGATCACTTGACACAGACTTGAGATAAGCCGCAGTGGCCTTGAAAAGCACTAATTTCATTACTGAAATAAGACAGTGGGCAACCAATGGGATTCCAAAGGTCATAAGTAGGGGTGAGAGAAAATCAGGTGATAAATCAATAAGTGGGTTGAGAGAAGTACAAACAGACACGTAGAATGACATGTAGGAAATTAGGTCTGCATATATCACTTCGGCGAATTCGTTTATCACTCCAGCTGTACAGTTTCACACTTATATACAATCTCTGTTTCATGAAAGAGGGCAGTAACAAGGACGTCAAGTGAAGAAAGAGAAGACGGAGGTGATGAAGACAGTCAGCCAACCAATCAACCAACAACAAGAAGCACAAATCACTATGAACGGAAGAAATTTGAAATAGGTCTTTTTCTTCACTCAACTAGTTAGCATCGCTAAAACTACAGACGGTGGCATGGACTTGAATGTCAAAAGCTGTCAGAATCAGAAAGACAAGACACGCCTTCATTAACCTGAAACCAGTTTGGAAATCTTCTGCACTCCACAGCATAAAGAACGAAATTAAGATTTTCCGAAATATTGTCTAGATAGCTCTTTTATGTGGGTCAAAGACTTGGCGTGTCATCAATGTCATCAAATGGCCGGCCAGAAAGAATTAGCAACAAGAAACTCTGGAACTAACCAATCAAGAAACTACTACTCAACAAATATTCCGGAGGAAATCGATATGGACTAGATACATTCTGAGGAGACCCTCTAATGACATCGCGAGCCAGACCGTTGCTGATGTGGACCCTGGATATGAAACGACGAGTGAGGCGTTGGTCCGAGGGTGATATGGAGGAGATCATGTGAAGATGAGATGGTAGTCTATGTGCAATCTTGGCACCAGCTAATTAGGAAGGCAGAGAACAGGACATAGTGGAGATATGCTGTTGAATTCGTCTGTTCCAATTGGAACCCAAAGGAACAGTAATAATAACAACATTAATATGTGTGGTGAAAACTATGCACAATCATTTATTAAAACAAAAAGAAAATGGGAATGAAGGCATTTCACTGGTTTTGAAACAGAACACACAATATGCAATCCGAAAGATAAGTGGTAAAGATAACGTAGAAAAAACAGCATAAAGCATTTCAAATAGGTGGTTCTAAACTTTATTGATTCCCACTGGTGGTCAAAGGAAGGATTCTTAAAGGCATAGCAGGGGGTGTCAAATAATGATAATAATAAAAAATAAAAATAATAACTATAATACTCGTAACAGGAGCAAATACGTAAGTGCTTGGGTGTGAGAAATGCTGCCATCTTCTTTATCACCAGAATAAAAGACTGATTGATTGATTGATGGAAACTAAGATTTAACCTCTTTAATCTACATATGGCTATACTAAATTCCTATAAAATAGGTATCCCACTGAGATTTGTTATTTTCCTTTTTCAGTAATGAATAATTTCTTGCAATAAACCAGAAAAGCAGAACAATTGAAGCCTATTTTTCCTGAACTAATCGTATGTATTTCTACTATATTTTACAAAACGGATGTCGAACTGTGGTGACACAAACGATAATTACAAGTATTGCTTATCTACACAAACAGCGTTTTACAACAGCTAACCAACCTCTCAGCTTGATCCACTTAAACAAGGGCACACAAAAGACGAGACGGAAAGTAAATATTTGTTTACAGGAAAACGTATGATTCAAAAAGTCACCAAGGATATTCTACGTAGGCCACTTCTGATTGGTTTATTTATAGGGCAGATTTCAACCACCATATCACTTTCCTAGACGTACAAATCTGATTTAGTCTTACAATTACTTTTTAGTGGTGTTTAGCAGTGTTATCCAGGTAGAGGATTTCGTCCAATTTGGAACTCGTCGTCGGATCTGCCTGCCTCACCCACAGGGACATATCGCTTCAAACGCTAACATGTCATTCACTCGTTTTCTACTCGGACATTGGCGTGGCATACGATGTTAGTCGACGGTATCCTTAGTGAGTGCTCGGTCCGCCTCAATTTTCTTTATGATATTTGCTGAGCAAAGTGTTCTCGGTTGGTTTGTTGTCACCGTGTCTTGTTGCTAATTCTTTTTGGCTGGAACCAAAAAGGGGAGCTGTAGATACAAATCTTCAGTGGCCTGCTGGAAAAGCTTTTCTTGAAATAACATGCAAAAATACATAATTTCAGTCTTGATGATATAGAAAATAAAGTAAAATGATGAACAGCTTCTTCAGAGACACTCCTGGAGTAGTCTAAGACTTTGAAGATGTCAAAATGTTCACAGCATCACTGGTAGTAGTTCTGCTGCGCACATTCGTTCTTTGTGGTACCAACAATTACCAATACCACTAAAATAACTTGTAGGGAATTTTAATCTCCACCTTTACTAAGAGATTCTAAACAACCGCCTGTTAGACATTAGGATGTCCAAACATTTTTTGTGGTTATCAGCTTTAGTGATACATTAAATAGTGTAATAGCCGCAAAAATTCACCAGCTCCACACCACACGTAAGAGCGTATATAATAAAACCAGATTAATTTTCAAGAGTTGGTTTCTAAGGATTAAATTTGCTTTTACGAGTTTGACCACGGATTGATGTCAGTTAGAGAACCAGAGAGGATTGGACAGCGGTTTCATCCTTATTTAGGAATTATCGGCAGTACGCACCCAGTGAGGTCCAACCAGTCAAGTGTGAGGATGGATTTCCCACCGATGACATTGGTTGGTGCCAGTCGCGCTAAATCACGAATTGGTAGAAGTTAGAATTAATGGACTGGCCATTGAGAAATGGGGTCCCAGTGGCTGATTAAATGGTCTACGAGCTTGCTTTGTAACCGAGAGGTCCTGGATTTGAACCTTTGTGGTGTAGGTGCGTACTGCCGATGACTCCCAAACTAGGATGAAACAGCTGTCTAGCACTCCCTGACCGGTTTTCAATGGTTCTCTAACTGATATTAGTACGTGGTCAAACTCGTAAAAACCAAATTACTCGGGCTTTTGTGGTGTTATTTTTCACCATAGTTACGTAACTGTCATGTTGACTTCTTGAACAATGTGCACCATAATGATGATTTTAAACTGAAGCACAAATATGAAGACTGTCTCAGTTTCCTGTGTCCATGAATTAAAACAAACGTGAAAAATGGAGTATCCATTGTGGTGGTTGTGTTAAAACCACGAATTGGTAAAAGTAAGAGTTCATGGGTTGATCACTAAATCTGGTCTTAATGGTTTAATGGTCTACAAGCTTGGCTTGTAGCTGGAAGGTATTAAGTCCAAGACCCACTAGGTGCGTATGTGGATAAGTCGCAAACTAGAGCGAAACAGATGTCTGCCCAGCACTCCCTTGTTTCCAATATTTCTCCAACTGATATTAATCCGTCGTCAAACTTGAAATTCTACCCTTGATTAATTTATCAACTCTGGTCATAGGGTACACCTGCATGACTGCTTCACATTGATAAACACAGTTCCTCAAAGGACTAGACACGCTACACTGGTCCAATACAGTTCACCAGCAGGTCAATCGCGAGCCCAGGTAGCTTATGGTTAACGTTTCTGACTGCAAGCGGCACTGAGTGACACCGGTTGGAATCTCAGAATGGACATGAGTTCCTTCAAGGTTGCAGATACGTCTTGCTGGTGAGTGCCAACTAGCACAAAACTTAGATTCAAGATTTCCTGTAGCTGACTGCCTCCTACCATCTAATATCAACCTTTGTACAGTTTTTGAAAATGGGTAGTAGAAAAGAAAAATTTTCATTCACTGTTACGTTGCCTATGGTATAGATCAGGGAATTGCAGCCCGCGTCACGAAAAGGATTTCCAGCATGCTTCGGAGCGTCACTGATAGAAGCCTTCGCTAGATCAGAGGACCAGCCAGAAAGATTTAGGAACACGAACCTCTGAATACGAGCCAATCAAGGGCAAAGTTAAACTTTAAGCACCACTAACTACCAATCAGCGGATGATCTTCATCGAACCAATCACATGAAAGAGGCATTTTTGGTTGTAGATAACATATATTTATGAAAAAATGCATAAAAACTGCACAGAACTGTTACGTAGGGTATCTTTCTGTGATATGTGATAGAAACATCTCCCAGTTTAGCACAGGAGTATCAATTGAAAAGTTACATCACATCCTATACATATATTCATCTAAATGACTATAAATGACATCCTTTTGAGATACATTTATGGCCCTAATCCTGTTTTTTAATCTTCCCCCAAAATCCTTCTATAGAATTCGTGTGTGTCCCTGTAATGGGATCCACAAAATCATTAGAATGGTTCACTCTGTGATGAATATATCCAAGAGATGACAGGGCGTTATAACCTTTCCACTCATCGGTGTGTATTATAGATCCCTGTTTGACCAGTCGAGTGATAATAGGTACAAAAGTAGTTGACTTTCTGTCTGCTTTTCTCTCAACGAATCACCCAAACATTGTTCGCTCGCTCACGACCAATAAGACATTTTCGTCCGCGTATGCTACGACACCTTCTCCTCCTAATAATGAAGTCATTCTCTCCATTTTCCATGTCACGATGTCTCTGCAGTGCTGGTACCGCTGAACTTTTGATACTAAACTATTTTCAGTTTCAGCAGCTGCACCTCTCACAGGCTGTCTTAAAACCCAGTAATTACAAATATATAAAACCTGGATTAAGGACAGACGGGACCTAGCAAAAACTTTTCCTACGAAATACTAGAATCATCAGCTTATTTTTCCTAACACCAACTCGTCTCAGACAAATTACACAATGATGGACATATCCATCAATCGACCTGATGAAGCTTTTTATACTCATGACACCTTCACATGAACTAATCCTTTCCTTCTTAAGCAACCCCACATCCAAGCAAGACTTGAAAGCCTTTTCCTCCCCAAATTACAAGCGTAACTGCGTTAGAGCGAGCATTTGACTCAAATCAAGCGGAATAAAACATTTAACTCATGTGGATGAAACTTATTGGATAATTCAAGTTCATTGGCTGGTTGGTAGTTAGTGGTGCTTAAAGCTTAACTTGGCCCAATCAAGAACCTATTGCTGAACAAATATTCTGAATAAAATGTAGACGGATCAGACACAGTTGGAGAGAAATTCTCTCGAGTAACATTGTGAGCTTGGCGAAAAAGTTCAACTCGAACAGGAAACTGGTCATCGCTTCCAGTGTGACATGAAGGAGTCTGTAAGGGGGATGTTAAAGCTTATAGGCAGCCATGACGTCAACTGATGAGGACCACAGAGAACAAGAAAAAACGGAGATGTTCCTTAGAAGACCTGTATTCCATTCGGAACCCGAGGGAATAATTATTAATAATATAATATTAATAATACAAAACAACACCCATGTTAACCACAACTATGAATATCACTTACCTCTCGTAAACATTCTGATAATTCGCCAAGAATTTCTTTCTCATTGAACATTTTCCCTTTATACCGATGCTCATAATAACCAGCAATACGTCTTCTTAGGGCTCTTGGATACTTTTTATACGCCATATATTCTTCGACTTGTTTTAACTAAAATTTAAAGAAAAGAATTTGACATTTTATTGTGAAATATGAAAGAGAAAAAGCTTAGAAAGAATTAGCAGAGTGTGTTACTTCATTGTTTAAAAGGTATCCTTTTATGGAATCCTGGAAATGTAAGAAGAAGAAACTATGGTGCGGTCAATACAAAGCTGAACCGGACAATATCTTCGCTATAACAGCTTCTATCCTACAAGACATTTTTTATTCCTTAACGTTCCCAGTGGAAAATAGGGCGCATTCAAGCTAAAGGATTGAAGTTTCTATGGCAGTGATGATTATTTTTACGGGATGGGGTTGATAGCCAGCGTCATGCCCAACCTTCCCTCTTTACCAGCCTTACTACTGGCTTAACAAGGTAAAGGAGTGCGTCGGCTGGGGATCGAACCCCGGACCACCTGCGTGGTTGGCGAGCACTCTACCGCTGTGCCACCACAAGCCATATGAGTGGATTAGTGAGGTCACTGAAAGAAAGAGCCAGGAAGTTATGTTCTACCAATAAGGTGGAAGGAGAATTAGGCTTTGTTGAGAAATACCTAGAGGAAAATGGGAATCCAAAGAGATTTTTCCAAAGGTATGTCAAAGTAAAAGACGAGAAAACGAAACACATAATTTCTGAGAAGAAGAAAGTGTTTATCTGTCTCCTATTCAAAGGGGAAGCAGTATCAAAAAATTATTGACAAGAGAATGAAAGCAGTAATAAAGTGATGCTTCCCTGCAGCTGAACTGTATAAACAAATCTAAACTGTATAAGTACCCTGCTGATGCCACCTCCGACTCCGTTTATAAATTAACATTCACTTGTGGGATCACGTTTTTTGTAATGACTGAAAGAAACGCCTTTATCCCAAGAAACTTACGCCTGAATAGTAGTAGATATTCACCAAGTGCAGTTACCAGACACCTTAAAGGAATGTGGATCATTTCAAAGAGATTTCTAAATCCTTCACAGAATTAAACATTACAGATGACAGCAAATTTACTACAATCTGCTGAAGTGATTGCAATTTAACGTCTCAAACCAAACTTATGCATACAGAAAGAGAGTGTAATTAATGTCTCACTCCCTTAGTAACTGTATTTTGATTACATTGATTAATCATCCGTATAAGTGATTCAGCTCATTGAGTAAGTTTTCAATCTTATGAACTATAACCTTCTTGATTTGCTATGTGAATTTTACAACTTAACACTGTTTATCAGATTTTTATGTCTTCTGTCTTGTACACCCCCTTCCTTTCCTATTTCGAAAGTATATGAATTAATGGCAACTTAAACTAGCAACAAGTTGACAGAAGAAGCATCCAGAAAAGATCGGACTTCGAGTGAACATAGAGAAAACAGAGGTGATGAAGATTCCTGGGAAACACCACCAACAGCAACAACAACAACACACAACAATCAGCATAAATGAGAGGAACCTGAAAGAAACAACCTCCTTCAGCTACCTACTAACCTGGGAAGCATCGTTTCAACTACAGGCGGAACTGACGAGGATTACAAAGCGAGAATCGGGAAAGCAAGACAAACTTTCATTACTCTCGAGTCTGTGTGAAGGTCAACAGCAGTCAGCATGGAAATGAAAATAAGATCCGGATTTTCAACTCCAATGTGAAGTCAGTCAGTGCTGCTATACGGATCAGAGACTTGGCCAGTGCGTCATAAAGAGTACCTCAAACAAACTACAGACCTTCATTAACAGTTGTCTTCGCTCAATACTCAAGATCAGATGGCCAGAAAAGATCAGCGACAGAGATCTCTGGCAATGAGCGAACCAACACAGCAGGAACCGATTGTGAAACAAATAGGCAGGAAGAAATGGAGATAGATTAGCCATACTCTGAGGAAACCATCAAGTGACATCAGTAGACAAGCCATTGCTCGAGTGGAACCCGAAAGGGAAGCGGCGAGTTGGTCGTCAGTGCAAGGGTGACTTGGAGGAGGTCATGTGAAGAGGAGATGAAAACGTGTGGGCAGACTTGGAGTCAGGTGAAAACGTTGGCAGAGAACCAAACGCAATGGAGACGCACGGCTGAAGCCCTATGTTCCTCTAGGCACTAAAGGGAACAATAATAATGAGAAACTAGAAATTGTGATGGTTACATTTCAGATACGCTGACCCCATAGTGTTTTCTATACTACCTACCATTCAAACATTGAAATTATTTTACGTTGTTCTTTCATAACCATTCTAATTTTAGGTAGTCTGTACAGCTGAAGAGAACCTGCGAAATAGGACGATGACATCATTTTATACTGGAGATGTGGAGCTTTTTACTTCAACAGAATTTATCAAGGGAACCAAGTGTGTAAAATGCATATTTATGTGGTAATGTTTGAAGAGACAAGGCTGCCCATTATCGCTGATGATATTCCTGTTTGTGGTGGGACGTGAGGAGCTAGACGCGGGACATACAATTGACCGACAAATAGAATCTAGATTTGGATCTGGATTTCACGGATGATTTTTGTTTAATATAACACAGATTTAAAGATCTACAGGTGAAGACTAACAGGCTGTCAGGAGAGGCAGGCAGAGAAGATAGGACCTCAAGTGGACTAATAGAAAATGGAGGTGATGAACAGAGTCCAATAATAGCAATAGCAACAACACCAAATACCAATCACTTTTATCAACGGAATAAATTTGGGTGAGGTCTATTCTTTCATTTTATAGGCAGCATCGTTTCAAGTACACGCAGCACCCATAAGGTTGCCCAAACTAGGTTCGGAAAGGCAAAAGAGTCCTTCATAACTGTAAAATCAGTTTGCAAATCTGCTGCAATCAGCATAAAAACACATTTTGGATTTTCATTGACTTGGCGAGTCACGAAAATCAATTCCAACAGGTTACTGAAGACCTCTGAAGATCAGATGGCCAGGCAGAGGGAATCAACAACAGGAAAATCTGGGAACAAACCAACCGGGAACCTATTTGGCCATCAAATATTCCAAAGTGAATAGAGACGGTTTGAACACCCGCAGAGGAGACCATCAGGTAACATCACAGTCCAAGTCAGTGGTTGTGTGGAACTAGAATAGAAAACACCGAATAAGGGGCTGGTCCAGAGGTGATATTGAGGTGGTCGCCCAGGGAAGAGTTGAGAGTCTCTGGAAAAACAAGGGCCCAGCTGTAGAGGACTACAGAAGCCTTATGTTCCACTCGGAAACCAAGGGAACACTACTGATAAGAGCGATTATTGATTAGTTTATTATAAGGACATATTTTACAGTTTAGGTTGAAAATTGTTGTATCACACAAATAATGTTAGCTGAGAACTCCTCAAAAATGAATGAAATGAAATTACTCAAATGAATAAAAACAAAAGATTTACAGAATTCTTACTAAAAGTAACAATAATATTCGCAAATGAGAGAATTTACAAGTGTTGAGTTGAGCCAGTTTATTCATCTAATTATTTTTTTTGCATCTGGTAATTGAATCAAACACACATTCAATTATTCACTTGTAAGGTCAAATAGATGATGAGATTATGTAGTCATTTATTGTATATATATAAATATTGCTCACACAAGTATTGAACTTGCAGGAGAGCAGTTAATAAGTAGTATATGTCTGTTGTCTTGAAAAACAAAAAGTAACCGAACGCAGAGAGGAAGGAGAAGCCTTTGAAAGCGCTAAGAAATGATTACGAAACAAAGGGAAGGGGGACAAGTTGAAATCAGAAAATAGGCTCAGCAGAGAAAAAACACAGCAAATACTGATATAATAATAATCTCTTATCCTCAGCTGTTATACTTGACTCATTGACCTTAGGAAAAAAAAAACGATTGAAGAATATAAAGCGGGTTAAACTTATTGAGTTTATTTATTTATTTTATTATTATTATTTATGTTTTGTTTTTTTATTGAAATGGATTATAAAAAAATGTTATGTTTTCTGTTGAAATGAACGAAGTCTTATAGGCTGATGAGATTATCACTAAGCTAGTGTTAGTGTTGTCTATAGTCATCTGTTATGTTCTCATATAACGAAATAGTAGAATGAACTTACAATTGCTTTCGAAGAGTGTTCATTTTCATTTTTTTTCTCTCACGAAAATCAATCATAAAAATGAAGGCATAAACATATTTAAGCGTTGGTTTGTAGGAATTTCATTGATTGGTTACAGGATTTCATCCTGAACTGATACAGGTAAGAAAACCATTGGGAAACCACAAGGCAGTACTGGACAGCCAGCTGTTTTGCCAGCCTGGTCTGGGACTCTTCAGCAGTACGCACCCACTTCATCTGGGTTCGAACCCAGGACCTTGTGGTTACAAGGCTAGCGAGCTCGTAGACCATTCAGCCACTGGGACCCTATCCAGTGATTCATGAATTTCAATTCCGGCCAATTCATGTTGTGGTGCAACCACTTGTGAATGTCATCCCTGGCGAGTATTTGTCCTTACACCCAACCTGCTGTACCTATATTACTTCTTAGAATTTCAGCGCTCTCCTACCCTTTTGTGTGGTTATGTGTTAATGCATGCAGTGCAGTTGCTGAGTTTGTTTTTCTAAATTACTTATCTTCTCGGGGTCAACCATTGTTACCTTAGCTAAATTCTTATGTCCTGACAGGCAGTCAAACTACCCTCGACCTACTAGTCTGACCTATGTAGTTGACCTAAATCACAGTCATTGCAAGGTATTTTGTAAATTATATTATTTTGTCTAATTGGCTCAGTAGAATTCTTTAGCCTACAGAGCTTGTCCGTGAGTGAGTTCATAGGTTTAAATGCCACCCTAATTCCTGATTGACTCCACTAAGATAAGTAATTTAGAAAGAAGCTGAGCACTGCAATGCACTGCATGCATTAACAACCAACCGCACAGTAGGGTGGGACAGAGTTAAAATTCTAAGAAGTAATATAGATAGGTGGAGACAGAGAGAGAGGTGGATTACTCAATCTTTGCTCACCGAATCTACACCCGACACATGCAATAGGAATGACTTATCACTAATACCAGAAATATGGAAAATATTAC